CAGACGTGTGCTCTTCCGATCTCCCCAAAACCCCAAAACCCCTAGGGTCAATATTAGTGATAAATATTAGGATATTTATTGCATTTCTATATTATAATTATTATAAATGAAACAAGCTAATTTTATATTGCTAGTTTCAACTTCAATATATTTAGTCAGTTCTATTAATTCTGCTCTGGGCAACTAAGATGTGAGGGGATGGGGAGATGTAGATCCATATGCTCCAGATGCTTGGGATTGGACAACACAGCCAAATATTATTAGTCCAGTAAGAAGTGATGGACTTAGTCAAAATATTAACGGTTGGGCTTCAATAGTTGTCTCAGCTATCGAATCTCATTATGCATTAAAATATGGAAAACAGAGACAACTTAGTGTGCAATAGCTTCTCGATTGCACTTAAGTTTAAGAGGAAAGTATTAATCCTTGGACAGGATATACAACTATTTTGATGGCTGGTGGTATAGCAGACTCTAAATCATATCCCGCTACTGAATCAAAAAGCAAGTGCTATTACAATTTATCAATACCTTCAGTGAATCTTCAGGGAGATGGGTATCAATGGATGCCTTAAAATGAGACTAAATTGAAATCAGTTGTCTATAATTAAGGACCTGTAGTTGTGGCAATGGCTGCCTCTAAAGATTTCTTCTCATATACAGGTGGCATTTTCAATACCACAACTTGTAATGGTGTCGTGCCAACTATTGCTTTGCTATTAGTTGGATATGGTGAAGAAAACGGAGTTCCTTATTGGATAGCTTAAAGTGCTCTTGGTGAAAATTGGGGAGAAAAAGGTTATGCGAGAATACTAAGAGATTAAAGTCTTTGTCTCATTGATCACGTGCCAACCATCCCATATATAATCCTTGATCCTGAGCTGGAATACCCCAGACCATACCAATACATGTGGGTTGCCATTGAAACTGAGGCAAGATGCATCGATGGATCTTTCGCTACTATCTATTTTTCTTAAGGATATGGAGATGGCTTGACAAAAGCAATTACCTTTTTCGAGGGTGGTGGTTGGTGCTACGGGAGAAATTAAACAGAAGTAAAAGAATGCTTGTATGAAAGATCTAGCACTGATCTTGGTTCATCTAACAATTACCCATAGACCAATTATTTAAATAGAACATTCTTTGAAGAACCAGAATAAGACTTACTATTTAGTAACTGGAATCGATTCTTTATCAATTATTGTGATGGTGCTGGCCATTAAGGGTATAAAAAGGACCCAATAGTTCACAAGGACAAATCTTTATACTTAAGAGGAGAATTAAACACTAAAGCTCATCTTGATTTTATACTGAGTAAGCTACCTCCAGAAATAATGACTGACTTCGTACTTTCTGGATGCTCAGCTGGCGGATTAGCATCTCTAATGTGGACTGATTACTTTAAGGATAAAATATTAACCAGAAATCCAAAAGTAAAGTATACAGCAATGCCTGATAGCGGATTCTTTGTTGACTACAAATCAGTTTTAACCAATGACAATGATTACAAGATCAAGATGGATCAACTGTACTTAATCTCAAATGCTGAGACAAACCTCCCTAATTCTAACTGCCTAAATAATGTTAAGCCAGAAGATAAAAATACCTGTTTCTTCGCTGAAAATGCAATTAATTATATCAAATCAGATGTCCTAGTTCTTCAATCAGGCTATGACGTTTGGTAAATTTCAAACATATTGGGCATTTCATGCCTTGACTCTGAGTATGGAACTTTAATCTATGCTTGCAATAACACATAAATTAAGCAAATACAAGACTTTAGAGAGTATACTGTGAAAATTTTAAGAGATAAAGCAACTAAGTTGAGTAATATAGCAGTTTGGTCGCCTTCTTGTCCTTATCACTGCTACTATGTTAAAAATACATAAGATCTCCAAGCTGTCCAAGTGCCTATGAACTCAGGAAATAATGTAGCGCTCGCATTTATTAAGGTAAGAGCAGGATAAAGAGACTCATATAATTGGTAGTGGATTGATAATGTTTAATGGCCTTAAAATACTGCTTGTGCTTTTTATTTATAAGAATGCCCTATCTCATGATTTGAAAACACTTAGTGAATTTATTTGGAGCATTACTATTTTGCGATTATTTTTGAAAATACTTATTTACTAAAGTCCTCAACTAAATTTATAATCCATCACAATGGGGTTTTGGGGTTTTGGGGTTTTGGGG